CAGTAGCATCCTGGGTTCTGACCAGGGCTTATGCACTCATGCTTTATCTCAGCAGATGAGATTCCTAGAAGAAGACTCTTGGATGTACCTTGAACATTTCTATTGATTTTGCCAAATCATCCTCCAAAAATGTTGAACCACTTTAAACTCCCACCAGCAGCCATGTGTGTGCCCTCTGTCCTACTTTGATGCCAATATCATTGATTTCTCCCTAGAAGCTTCCATCCCCTTAGCCGGGACTGCTTGGCACTGGAGCCAACCTCACTGTTCAGCCCGGGACCTTGATTTCCCAAGATAGAATTATGGAGGAGGAAAAATAGTTTTCCTCTACCCTTCTGAGTTCTTAGTGGAGGCCCTTGTAATGAAAGACAGATTACCAAGAGAAAAACTAAAGTTCATTAACATGTGTACCTCGTGTATATGTGGGAGATCCCAGGGAAAAATGAATAACTCCCCAAGGTGGCTTAGAATCCAGATTTAAATACCTTCTTCCTAGGGAAAGGGGACGGGATATATAGGCCTCTTAGAGGAGAGTACATGATTTTTAGGAAAGATGAATGGGGGTGGGGGAGATAGTTTGTAATAAAGTTTGGGTGTGATGTCAACTTCTAGTCTCCTGTCCTGTGACAGGAGTCAGTCTTCACTGGCTGATGGCACTTTTCCCATCAAGGGAACCTTTTGGGGGGGTCCGATTTTAGGCAGAGCAGGAGACTTCAGTGAAAACCTCTCCTTGCATTTGCTGTTTTTCAAGCATCTGCAGGTCAAGATCATCAATATAACAACATGGCATATGTTGGGGTGGCCTGTTCTCTGACCTTTAGAATAAACCCAACAAAAGCTTGTTTCCTCTCTTAGATGATTTGCCACAGTAGCGTTATTCCCTGGAGACAGTATTCTGACCAGACCTTCCTGGGAGTGGTCATAACATACCCTGAGCTTGTAGAAAGGTGTGGGCCATATCACTAAATAAATCATCTTGTGGAAAAGGAGATAAAGTTATGATAGTTTATCTCCCTTTCCACAGGTTTCCTGCCGGTTTGTGTCTCTGCTGCAGCCCCAGGGGCCCCAGGACCTCTGCGGCCTTGGGGCTAGGGGTTGCTGGGTGCCAGGCCCCCTGTGGGCTCTGTCTCTGCTCTTCAGGCCCC